AACTTTAATTCCATAGCAATTAAAATTTCACTAAAAGCAGGATCATTTTTATATTTATGGAATGTTCTTGCAATTATATAAAGGCGTTCAAGCACCTTACAACTTGTGGGATAATAAATGCCGGATAAAATTTTTGTGGTCTCATAAAAAGATGTCAAAAATCGTTTAACTTTCAAAGCTAAAATCCAATCAGATTTATTTAACATACCATCATCATCACTTCTAACATGTCTATTATTATAAAAGTCAGTTATTAAATTTTCGAAACCTTCACATGATTTTAATAGCAAGTATGTGGAGTTCCATATATGACCTACGTCGCTAACAAATGTTTTAGCAGTCATCACCCTTAGTTCAGCACAAAAATCTTTAAATGCTTGTTTTCTACTAGAAGAGATCGTAATATAAATTAATACATTCCTAATACTTTGAAGTTCATCCTTTATATGTTTTAAACCATCTTGCACAATTAAATTCAAGATATGACACACACAACGAATATGAAACAAATACCCACCAAAATCAGGTTGAAGTGTCCTACACAATTTATCGACGACTACCTTATTAACGCTAGCATTATCAAAAGTAAAAAGATCGAATTTTACTCTCACAATGATATTCTCTAACAATACTGATAATAGCATTATATATATTATTAGCATTGTGAGGAAATTCAATAATTCTAAAAGAAATAATTTTCTTATGCATGCACCAAAGTGGGTCTATATAGTATGTGGTTGCAACTATATATGCTCTTTTATTAACCACTTCCCATATATCAGAAGTTAAGGATATAACACCCCCATATTATTGCAAATCCATAATTAATTGTTGTTTTGAATTATTGAAATAATTTATTGTATCGGCACGAAGAGTGTTTCGACTTACCCCAACGTACTTCGGTTGTAGATATTCTTTCACGAACAAGACGAAGTGTTGGTTGTCTGCAATAGTCAGAGGCAACTCAGTGGCGGCAACAAATTTCACCATTCCAGTTCGAGTCTCGTCTTCCGAGTACACTCACGTGGATAGGGGTGAAGTTGTAGAACCGACGCTTGGACTGCCAAATTGTAATTGTGTTTGACCAGTTGGAAGAAGTCCATGTCTGGCTGCACATGATTTGTAGTGGCGGTTGAAATGAGTGATACCAATTCCTTTTTACCATGCCAATCTTTGTTGGCAGTATTTACATACTGTTTTAGATTCTGTAAGGCCATCAACGACTTTTCTCGTTGAAATCAACTTAAAGTGATCCCAACATTTTGCTTGTTTTTTGGCCTTTCGCTTTCCCCTCGCATTTGGGATATTTAATT